AGTGAATGAGATGATTGCTTGGAGCAATGATGAGGATGAGGACCTCGGTTTACAAACAAAAGAGCCTATAAGGTCAAAGAATGAGCTCAAGGTACCTATGCTTCAACTTTCACATTTCATAGCTATTAGTGGTTGATTCTTTTGGTGGTCTCTTAGCCTTAGGTAGCTGTTGCTAGCGCCAACGTCAGAGCTTTGTTTTCTTGAAAGAAGTACGATCCATATTTATGTAGAGTACTGATTAGAAATTGCAGCAAGAAAACTATGTACCATCCTCAGGCTATTTGGCATTACTTATGAAAGCTTTCTTCCATTTAACTTTTGTAGGAGCTTCCCCCAGTTCCACCTGTGGATGTCACTCTGGAACCGCATCATGCCACACTTCCTGTTGGAGTTGTTCTTTCGGTATCATACAAATTCCTCTGCTTCTTCTATGTTTGATTTCTTGGTAGTCCGCTTCTAAAACGTAAACCCGTGTGGTTTGTGATTTTACAGGTAATGAGCACACAAGTAATAGTTGAGGGAATGGAAAAACACAGTCCTTTGACTGAAGGTTCTATCCTATGGATAACTGAAAGAAGAAGTCCATTGGGACTGGTGGATGAGATCTTTGGACCCGTAAAGTCCCCTTACTACATTGTGAGGTTCAATTCAGAGAGCGAAGTACCAGAAGGGATTAGTCAAGGTACACCTGTCTCATTCGTCGCGGATTTTGCTCAACATATTCTCAATATCAAGGAACTGCAGAAGAAAGGTTATGATGCATCTGGAGATAACGACGAGGAGATATCAGACGAGCTTGAGTTCTCGGATGATGAAAAAGAAGCTGAATACAGAAGATTGCAGAAGATGGAAAAGAGAGGGATGATGAATGACCAAAATACCGGTAATACAAGAAACAAGAAGAAGAAAAACCGAGATCTTGGAAGGCCTACAAACAGTTACTCAGGGGAATGGACAGAGAACCAGGGGTCTAGTTCTCTACCCTCAAACCGTTCTGATCCTCAAATGGGTGGTCCGGTTTCCAATCATCACCCACGTCCACAAATGGACGGTTTCCCTCCAAACGGAGGAGCATGGAGACCCCAGAATAATCAGCAGAACCCATATCAGCTTCCTCCTATACCTAATCAGATGGGAATGCCCAATCTTGCCCAAATGCTACCTTTGATGGTGATGCAAAATCAAAATCAAATGATGTTCCAACCACAGTTCAATGGTGGCCAGATGCCAATGCCAGGTGGACCGGGAGGCTTAAACTTCTTTCCAGGACAGGCTTCAGCGCCATGGCCTGCATTAGTTGGTCAGAACTGTTTCAACCAACAACAGTTTGGGATGGGTCGCGGTATTCAGCATCCGCAATTACCGAATGAGCTGAATTTTAATCTGTTTGCTTCTCAAGGTTTTCAAATGCACCAGCCACAGCCCCAAATGCATCGCCCTCAGTCTCCAATGAACCCACAGTTCCAAATGCAACCGCAGTTCCAACCCCGCCCGCAGTCCCCAATGAACCCGCAGTTCCAAATGCTGAACCACCCGCCACAATCTCCAATGAACCCGCAGTTCCAAATGCAACCTCAATCTGAAACGCGTCCACAGTCTCAGTCACCAACTAATCCACAGTCCCCACTGCAACCACAGTCTCAAGGGTTTAGCAACGGGCAGTCTTCTGAACGAGGAAGGGGCCAC